TATAGGAGCTCTGCTGGCATAGTGCCTAAGGCATTTGACTGCTAACCAGAAGGCTGGCAGTTCAAACCCACCAGCCACTCCTCGGAAGGAAGACTAGGCAACCATCTCGGAAACCCCAGGAGGTGTCACTATGAGTCGAATTGACTCGACGGCTGAGTTTGGTGGAGTTTTTTTTTTTTTTGTATCTATCTATCTATCTGGTTGATTGTTTTATATTTGTGTGATATACATATAGGATTTGCACTTGTGGATTTTAGGTAATTTCATTTAAGTTTATAAACTCTTTGTTTTAAACTACTCCTTCCACAAAGGATTTGAGGTGTCTTACAAAAATCATCATAGTGCAGCAAGAAAAAAATAAATCAGGAAATTGGGCCATTGGGAAAGCACATGTGGGAGGAAACTGACTCACAGCGACCCCTCCTTGGGTTTCTGAGGCAGCATCTCTATGGAAGTAGATTGCCCAACCTTCCTTCTGAGGAGTGGCTGGTGGGTTTAAACCTCCAGCCTTCTGGTTAGCAGTCAAATGCCTTAGGCACTACATACCAAGCCCTTATAATTAAACATGACCAAGTTTTAAAAAGGCTGGTTAAACATTTATCAGTTGTTTACCATGTGCCAGGCACTATTCTAAGTGTTTTAAAGTATTGTTCATTTAATGCAATCCACTAGCAACCCTCTGAGGTATGTACTTTTCTTATCTCCAGGTTTTGTTTTGTTTTTACGATGAGAAAATTCATCTGAAGCACAGAGAAGTAGAGTTATTTGCTCAAGGTTATCAGTTAGTAAGAGGTAGTCAGAATTTGAACCCAGATAATTTGGCTAGAATGAACTCTGGTGGCACTGTGGTTAAAGCATTGGGCTGCCAACCAAAAGGTCAATGGTTCAAACCCACCCCAGCTATTCCCTGGTAGAAAGATGAGGCAGTCTGGTTCCATAAAGATTTATAGGCTTGGAAACCCTATGGGGCAGTTCTACTCTGTCCTGAAGTGTCTCTGTGAGTTGGAATTGACTTGAAGCCAGTATTTATTTATTTAGTCTGGCTCTAGAACCTATGCTCCTAATCACTTTACTACACAGCTACTATGGTAATAATAGCTGACACACATTGAACCAGGCATTATGTGAAATGCTATGCATGAATTCTCTCATTTAATTCTCACTATGGTCCTTTAAGGCAGTTACTATAGAGCATGTGCTACACTCTGAACGTTTAGATTCAGGTAGGTTAAATAACCTATTCAGGTTTATGCTGCAAGAAAGTGGTGGACACAGTATTCTGACTCATGGTGACTCCATGTGTTACAGAGTAGAACTGAGTTCTGTACGGGCTGTTTGGCTATAATCTTTATGTAAGCAGATCACTAGGCTTTTCTACCATGGTACCAATGGATGAGTTAAAACCACCAACTTTTTGGTTTGTGTTGTTGTTATGTGCTATCGAGTTGATTTTGATTCATAGCAACCCTGTATGAAAGAGAACTGCCCCACAGCATTTCCTAAACTATAACCTTTACAGTAGCAGATCACCAGGTCTTTTCTCCTGCAGAGCAGCCAGTGGGTTTGAAATGCTGACATTTTGATTAGCAGTCGAGCACAAACCATTTGTGCCACCCAGGGACCTGTGGAGTCAGTGTAGATACCATTATATTTCGGTAGGAGCACAGATGAAAATGAGATTAACTCTTAGCACACAATTGGTCAGATTTGGGTAGGTCAAGGTAACCCATCTCTATCCTACACAACTTCCTCTATAATTTACCAGAACTTAGAGTCTTTGAGTTGGAATCAAGTCAACACCAATGGGTTGGGTTTGCTTTTGGTCTATTTACATTTCTGTAATTAGAATAGAACAGAGATTATCAATTTGTTTCATTAGCCCAAGCACCTAAACAGGGTAGACATTCATTCATTTTTTGTTTACTTATTCATTAAAAAATATTTATTGAGCATGTACTCTGAGCCAGGTTCTAATTTGGCACAGTATTAATGGTGAACAAAACAATCATGATCCTTACTGTCATGCAACTAATGAGGAGAGAGACATTAAACAAGTAATTATGCAAATAAATATATAATTATAAATGGTTTGAATGTGTAAGCTATATGCTATATGAATTATGTCTCAACAAAGCCGTTAAAAATTGTGAGAAGTTCTGCATGAGTTAGGACTCTTGATATTGCAAGGGATAAAAACTCAAATCAAAGTACCTTTAATTAAAAAAAAGAAAAAAAGAAGAATTTATTAGCTCGTGTAACTGAGAAGTCGACTAGACCCAGGACTCAATTGTACTCTCTAATTCTCAGCTTTGATTATCTCCTCAGTCTCCTTCTGTAGCCAGATTTTATAACATGGATGATGGCAGCTCCACATTCATATCTTCCCAAATTGTGCAGAAAGAGGGCTTCTCTCTCTTAACAACCATATGTCAGTCTCAGGGAAGATTATAACTGGCCATCCATGAATCACATGCCCAAACCAGTGGCTGGAAGAGACAATCATTCTGATAGTCCCACCACAACTATTTTAAATGATTTTTTCTTAAAGGAAGGAATGATGGACAGATAAAAGTACATAAGTGCTATGAAGAAAGTGAAAAGGGGAGAACTAATTTTAGATTAGAAAGAAGGCATGTTGCAAGGACTAAATCATCAAGTGGAAAGTAGTGGGAGATGGAAGGGAGAGGAGACAGGGCTCAGATCTTGTAGGATCTTATAGACCATGTTAAGAATTTTTCAGAGATATGATCAGATATGGGAACAGTGAGAGAGGATGCTCAGCTTTCTCTATCCCTACTCCAGTGCTTAGCCTCTTGCCATCTGAGGCATTACATTTTTCAGCAGTGTGCTGGCCAGTGATAACACTGCCATGCTCAGCTTTATGGGATTCCTCCTGAGAGGAATCTCAGCTGAGAAAAGCTCACCCAGCCAAGCTGTTGATGTAGCCAGCAACTAGCATTCATTAAACCTGTGAGCAGCTGCAGGGCACCAGACTTCTATATCCTCATAGTTCCTGGGACCTGGATGAGGCCATAGGAACAGTGAGGAAGATGGATCTTTGAGAGGGCAGAAGAGTTTCAGGAACTCCTATTCCAGGAAGCATATTATTTTAGGGCTCCGCCTCATCTACCCCTCAGAAAGGGGCTTTTTGTCCCTTTCCTGGGTTTGACTGGGAGTGGGACTAGCTTAGAGACCAGAGCTCAGAAAGGGTAGTAAAAGGGAAATATATTTGTGCCCACAAGAGAATGACAGACCCATTCAAAATGTTGTTTTGAAACACACATACACTTATCCCAGCACAGCTGGTGGAAAAAGCATGGCTGGAACAGGTAAGCAGGAGAGACACCCCAGGCAGGAAGCTAAAGGAGATGAAGTTGTCTGTCAATTTGTTGGACTGTGGTGGCTTGTGTGTTGCTGGGAGGCTGGAGGCTGTGCCATTGGTGTTTCAAATCCCAGCAGGGTTGCTCATGGTAGACGGGTTTCAGTAAAGCTTCCAGACTGAGATATACTCGGAAGAAGCAAGAAGCCATCCACTTCTCAAAGAATTGCCCAGGTAAAACCTTATGAATAGCAGTGAAACACCATCTGATATATTGCTGGACAATTTTATGAATAGCCCTGAAACATTGTCCGATACAGAGCCGGAAGATGAGCCCCTCAGGTCGGAAGGCACTCAAGATAGGACTAGGAAAGAGCTGCTTCATCAGAGTGGAGCTGACCTTAACGATATGGATAAAGTAGAGCTTTCAGAACGTCCATTTGCTGATGTGGCACAATTCAAAAGGAGAAGAAACAGCTGCAAGCATCCATTAATAATCAGAACATGGAATGTATGAAGTATAAATCTAGGAAAACTGGATGTTGTCAAAAATGAAATGGAATGCATAAAGATTGATATCCTAGGCATTAGTGAACTGAAAT